AAACTCATGTTGAGTTTAATACTTTGCCGTCACATGACTGAATATGCTTTTCTGATTGGCTAAATGTGCACATGTTATGATGCATACATTGTTCTAAGGATCAAAATTATCATGTGATAGTCACAACAGATGAACATCACCATGACAACCCATTTAATATTGGTTATCATATTCTCCCTTTGCTGAAACTTGAATAAGTTCAAAATAATCAAATTGGTATTTCAGTCCATGATTTCAAGTTTCATCTATAATGATCTCATCCAGAAAATAATAAAAAAAAAATACATTTTTACCATCTTTATGGAATTAATGGTATTACCGTATATACTTGACTGCCAGTCTTTAAAATCATTATACATGGATGTGTGCAAGTCAAGTTGTAATTACTGATGACAATTTTTTGTTAATATTAAATTCATTTTCCATATTTTCTTTTGTTTACTTGGTGTTGAGAGAGGAATCGCTCTATAAATGGTTTATTCATTAATAACAATAATATTCATCTGGGGAATATATATATATATATTTAAGCATGTCAAGTGTTTTGTGCTAATCATTAATGCATGTTATAGTTTTGGTGATTGTCCTTACTGATACCGGGTAATCTACAGAAAATATTTTGAAAAATTAATACGCAAATTACAAGCATGTCAGTGAGTCTTTTCTTAACCTAACCCTGAGAAGAAATGAGAAAGTTGTTCAGTTTACAGGGATGTTCACTAATTTTATAAAAATAGGTTTACGGTACTCGGACTGATTTCATTTTAAACTGGGTTTGGTTTTGACAAATTTCATTTTCTTAGCTTGCAGTCTGCATTTAATAATACTGTGGAATACTTTATTTTCGCTTGAATTAATTTTTGCTGAAAAGGCTTTTTGGGCGTTTTGCTTGGATTTTATTTTCTCTGACTTTTGATGAGTTTAATGTGAAGTATAGGAAAAAATAATATTCGCTGGATTTTATTTTCACGGAATCATCTCTTCAGCGAAAATAGCGAAAATAAATTTCAAGCGAAAATGAAGTATTCTACAGTACTATGATTACATGTAGGGATACAAGTATACATCAATCTTGTTTTTACCATTCGCATCACAGAATGACTTATTCGTTATGAAAAAGTTCAGACTAGTTTTGTGCATGGTCAGATACAATATGCATGGAAGGCGTGTTGATCACTACCAGTCGGCATATTATGCAGATAAATTAGTGTACAATACCAGCTTCAGTTTTGTTACAAGTTTTGTATTGCAGATATTCAGGTTCTCATTTACAACAACATAGAAACACAATATTCAGCAATACACAGTACATGTATATTTGAACAAAATATAGTTTCACATTTTAGTATTCCATGTGCAAGATGTATTGGGAGGGGTGGGGGATGAACAAGTACAAGTACATGTACATTTTACTTGTGAAAAGGTAAGGCAAACTGACTCGTGAACTGTTATAAAATCACCATCCTTTTCTGTCACACACTTTTTATCCCTAGCGATAAATGTGTCCAGCATTCCAACGCTAGTCTATTGTAAAACTGAAAATAAACAACTCAAGATGAAT